CAGTCGCTGTTTAATGGTAAATCTGTGACAGTCACTGTTTAATGGTAAATCTGTGACAGTCACTGTTTAATGATAAATCTGTGACAATCACTGTTTAATGGTAAATCTGTGACAGTCACTGTTTAATGGCAAATCTGTGAAAGTCATTGTTTAATGGTAAATCTGTGACAGTCATTGTTTGATGGTTAATCTGTGACAGTCATTGTTTAATGGTATATATGTGACAGTTTTTGTTTAATGGTGAATCTTTGACAGTCACTGTTTAATGGTAAATCTGTGGCAGTCACTGTTTAATGGTAAATCTGTGACAGTCACTGTTTAAATAATAAATCTGTGAGAGTCAGTGTTTAATAGTTAATCTGTGACAGTCGCTGTTTAATAGTAAATCTGTGACAGTCACTATTTAATGGTAATGTGTGACAGTCACTGTTTAATGGTTAATCTGTGACCGTTACTGTTTAATGGTTAATCTGTGACAGTCATTGTTTAATGGTTAAAAGACAGTCACTGTTTAATGGTTAATCTGTGACAGTCATTGTTTAATGGTTAATCTGTGACAGTCACTGTTTAATGGTAAATCTGTGACAGTCACTGTTTAATGGTAAATCTGTGACAGTCACTGTTCAATGGTAAATCTGTGACAGTCACTGTTTAATGGTAAATCTGTGACAATCACTGTTTAATGGTAAATCTATGACAGTCACTGTTTAACAGTAAATATGTGACAGTCACTGTTTAATAGTAAATCTGTGACAATCATTTTTTAATGGTAAATCTGTGACAGTCATTGTTTAATGGTTAATCTGTGACAGTCACTGTTCAATGGTAAAACTCTGGCAGTCACTGTTTAATTGTAAATCTGTGACAGTCACTGTTTAAATAATAAGTCTGTGAGAGTCAGTGTTCAATAGTAAATCTGTGACAGTCACTGTTTAATGGTAAATCTGTGACAGTCATTGTTTAATGGTAAATCTATGACAGTCATTGTAACAGTCACTGTTAAATGGTTAATCTGTGACAGTCACTGTTTAATTTTAAATCTGTGACAGTCATTGTTTAATGGTTAATCTGTGACAGTCATTGTTTAATGGTAAATCTGTGACAGTCATTGTTTAATGGCAAATCTGTGACAGTCATTGTTTAATGGTAAATTTGTGACAGTCACTGTTTAAATAATAAATCTATGACAGTCACTGTTTAATGGTAAATTTGTGACAGTCACTGTTTAAATAATAAATCTGTGACAGTCACTGTTTAATAGTAAATCTGTGACAGTCACTGTTTAATAGTAAATCTGTGACAATCATTGTTTAATGGTAAATCTGTGACAGTCATTGTTTAATGGTGAATCTGTGACAGTCACTGTTTAATGGTAAATCTCTATCAGTCACTGTTTGATTGGAAATCTGTGACAGTCACTGTTTAAATAATAAGTCTGTGAGAGTCAGTGTTTAATAGTAAATCTGTGACAGTCACTGTTTAATAGTAAATCTGTGACAGTCACTGTTTAATTGTTAATCTGTGACAGTCACTGTTTAATGGTAAATCTGTGACAGTCATTGTTTAAGGGAAAATCTGTGGCAGTCATTGTTCAATGATCTATCTGTGACAGTCATTGTTTAATGGTGAATCTGTGACAGTCACTGTTTAATGGTTAATCTGTGACAGTCACTGTTTATTGGTAAATCTGTGAAAGTAATTGTTTAATGGTAAATCTGTGACAGTCATTTTTTGATGGTTAATCTGTGACAGTCATTGTTTAATGGCAAATCTGTGACAGTCACTGTTTAATGGTAAATCTGTGGCAGTCATTGTTTAATGGTGAATCTGTGACAGTCACTGTTTAATGGTAATATGTGACAGTCACTGTTTAATTGTAAATCTGTGACAGTCGCTGTTTAATGGTAAATCTATGACAGTCACTGTTTAATGGTAAATCTGTGACAGTCACTGTTTAATGGTTAATCTGTGACAGTCACTGTTTAATGGTAAATCTGTGAAAGTCATTGTTTAATGGTAAATCTGTGACAGTCATTGTTTGATGGTTAATCTGTGACAGTCATTGTTTAATGGTGAATCTTTGACAGTCACTGTTTAATGGTAAATCTGTGACAGTCGCTGTTTAATGGTAAATCTGTGACAGTCACTGTTTAATGGTAAATCTGTAACAGTCACTGTTTAATGATAAATCTGTGACAGTCACTGTTTAATGGTAAATCTGTGACAGTCACTGTTTAATAGTAAATCTGTGAAAGTCATTGTTTAATGGTAAATCTGTGACAGTCATTGTTTGATGGTTAATCTGTGACAGTCATTGTTTAATGGTATATATGTGACAGTTTTTGTTTAATGGTGAATCTTTGACAGTCACTGTTTAATGGTAAATCTGTGGCAGTCACTGTTTAATGGTAAATCTGTGACAGTCACTGTTTAAATAATAAATCTGTGAGAGTCAGTGTTTAATAGTTAATCTGTGACAGTCGCTGTTTAATAGTAAATCTGTGACAGTCACTATTTAATGGTAATGTGTGACAGTCACTGTTTAATGGTAAATCTGTGACCGTTACTGTTTAATGGTTAATCTGTGACAGTCATTGTTTAATGGTTAAAAGACAGTCACTGTTTAATGGTTAATCTGTGACAGTCATTGTTTAATGGTTAATCTGTGACAGTCACTGTTTAATGGTAAATCTGTGACAGTCACTGTTTAATGGTAAATCTGTGACAGTCACTGTTCAATGGTAAATCTGTGACAGTCACTGTTTAATGGTAAATCTGAGACAGTCATTGTTTAATGGTAAATCTGTGACAGTCACTGTTTAATGGTAAATCTGAGACAGTCACTGTTTAATGGTATCTGTGACAGTCATTGTTTAATGGTTAAATCTGTGACAGTCACTGTTTAATGGTAAATCTATGACAGTCATTGTTTAATGTTTTTACAACTTTTCTACAATCGTGTTGATATATTAGAGATTGACTTTTTGTATACTTTTTTTTGTTTGTTGTTACAGACATATAAATGTCTAATATGTTTGTATCGTTAGGTTTCTGTCTCATTGACATGAAATCCATATTTCCTTCACTTCATACGCTGAGGGGCCTGTCAAGTTTACTAGAAATTTCCCTTATCTTATATACATACAGCCATTTTTTGAATCTTTAATTACATTTTGTAAAGAACTCCGTTAAAATCTGCGCTAGCATCTTATTGAACTGGACGTTTTTCCTACAGGTTATGTAGGACTTTTATAGGCAATCAACTGTTGTAACAGAGTACTTATATGCCATGCATTTGTAAATTATTATGGAAGCACAAATAAAGATGGGAAGGGATGTATCGAAGTTAAACAAAATGGTGACTTAAACTGTCGGTATAGATTTTTACTGAAAGATGCAAACTAAAAATGTTGCAATAAATTTTTCAAAGACAGTGTGATTATTGAGAATGTAATTACAGTAACACGAATATATATAAGGAAAGAGGTCTTTATTATATGTTGTTCCGCTGCCTATCTGAGATACCTCTATAGCAGCGATGCAAGCAAGAATGATCCGTAACCCCATTTTCCACATTTCCCCCCAAGAAATATTTTAAGAAAGCTAATTTGAAGTTCTGTCCTATTATTTTCTTTTATTTGCACATGATTGTTTGTGCAACATATTCTTACAAAATATATTTTTTTTTAATTTCATATAGTTTCGCGGTATATAATCTGTTATGGAATTACGCCCCCCCCCCCCCCCCCCCCCCTTCCTTTCAAGAGTCGCTAAAAGTATTGGGTTAACACGATTGGATAGACTATTGATACTTTTTCTATGTATGCACAATGTGTTAACGTGTCATACCTTTGTTTTGTCTGCGATAATTGATAAGCATACCTTTTCCCCCGGTTTAATACAAGTATCAGTGCAAGCATTAACTATTTTTTTTACTCTACCAGATGACAGATATTTTGCAAAATATTGATTGATTGATTGATTGTTGGCTGCTTAACGTCCAGTGGCAAATATTTCATGCATATTCAGGACGAGAACAAATTAACAATAAATACAATAGGTAGGTCCGGTATTAGAGGTCAACTGGGTTACAGGTCGGGAAAATTTAGACTGCCACGGGAAAATTTTGCGAAATTTGTTCCCAGATAAAAGCAATTACAGTAAATCAGACATGCGCTTCGGATGCAACAAAATTATAATGTGTAATTTTTCATTTCCTGGATATATTGTTACCAGATAAAGAAGTAAAACTGATGTTGTGATTCGGGAAATACTAGTATCTTGTACTGGTAGCCTGTTATTAAATATTACTGGTATCTATATATAGAATGGAGAATGGAGACAACCCGACCAAAGAGCAGAAAACAGCCGAGGGCACCAATTGGTTTTCAATGCAGCGAAAAAAATCCCGCACCTGGAGGCGGGCCTCAGATAGCCCCTAAACAATAATGTATACTAGTTCAGTGAAATGGACGCCACCACACAAAACTCCAAACAAACACAAGACTAACAAAGGCCAGAGGTTCCTGACTTGGGACAGGCGCAACAATGCGGCGGGGTTAAACATGTTTTGTGAGATCTCAACCCTCATCCTATACCTATAGCCAATGTGGAATAAGCACACACAGCAAAACGCACAGTTAAACGCAATTAAAAAGAAGTCCGAGTCCGATATAAGAATAGGTAACCGAAGAAACTAAGCAAAATGACATACTTTATTCGTGTTTCTCAAGAAAACATTAAAAGGACTTCATTTTCCGTTCATTTAAAAAACCGTTAGTTTAATAAGTGTGAAGTACATGTACTTATAACAAATTAATTTAAAATATAGATTCTCGGCATTCAAATATCTGTTTACACCCAGGGCTTGATAAAAACGTAACCAATCGGTTCATATCGCTACAAACTATTGCTACGACCTTTTTTTGCTATATAGATTGCAGTCACATGTATTCTTAGTTGTGTTTACAACTTCTCATTATGGAAATTATATAGTAACATAGTGGACAAAATATTTAATATTCAATATAATTATAAACAATAACAATAAACAATCTTAGGAATGTTTAACAATACAATAAGTTCTTGTTGAACAGTTTGTTCATTGGAGCAAATGATATATGTTTCGTTGAAGCAAAAGTTCCCTTTGGTAACAGGACAACGAATTTTGATTAAATACACACAATCTCCTCCGTGAATCATGTAGGTACTGATATACATTTATAAAACAATGAATCAAGTGTCACAACTGTTGTGTTAAAAAAATAAAAGGAAAACTTTTGATAACCGAAAAAGTAAACATTGAATACATAAATGTTTAAATCGGAAACACGTTTCGTTTATAATTCCGATTTTCTTCTTATCAATTTAAATAAGTATCAATCAAAGCGTTTACCTGCTTAGCAAATTATACAGAAAAGGAACTCCTTGATTTTATTCCAAACAGTTTGCCTATACAACATCGTGACAAGAGATTTTGAAATTCTTTCCGAATTTGACCGTTTACAATTCCGTATACAATAGGATTAGTTGCATTTCCTATGAAAAAGAGATATCTGAAAACTAAATTATTTGTTAGTCCGAAAATATCAATCCAAAATGGCAGCCATGTCAATAAATAAATAACTGTACATAAGAAAAGCATTTTTGCTGTCCGATGGTGGAAAATCCTCCTAATTTTTTCAGCCTTTCTTTTCTTGGAATTCAGTTTTAAATTGTTATTTAAGACTTGTATATCTTTAGATATGACTTCGGAGTCTTCATTGTCAAATTCATAGGTCCTGCTAACTTCATTATCGACGTGTTCTTGTTTTTGTTTGTCACATAGTGAAGAACGTATTTCTGAAATTTCCGGACCTTCCTTGGGACTTCTTGACAAAGCTCTCTTCCGGAATTTTGTTCGTTGCCAAAGCACCATATAAATAATGATATAGAAAATGACAATAATTATCAGACTAACAAAGAAAAGCACCATTAGAACACCTTGATAAATTACAGCATAAACTTGTCCATACAACGAGTATGTAAAATGGCAGAATTTGCCATCAGTCAGGTCATGGTTCAATTTACATTTAACGTCACGGACTTCGTAGTCAGAAACTACAGTAAAAATTCCAATTGATGGTCCCGCTGATACACAACTCAGAACGAAGATGAAAAGCATACCGTGTTGTACATTTTTCACTGACATTTTATGAGTAATACGACATACAGCAATGTACCTTTCAGCAGCGATAGCAACAAGAGTCAAATTTGATGCAAATATTGCAAAATGGCGCGTGAATTCAAAAGTTCTACAAACAACGTCAGTTTGAACAAGGTGTAGTTCATAAATCATGGTGTATGGCATTATCAATGAGCAAACAATAAGATCTAAAATAGCAAGAGCTTTGATAAAGGTGTTAGAGGCTGACTGTTCCTTCCTGTGAAAGTACACAATCAATACAGGAATGTTCCCTAGAATTCCCACAATAGAAAACAGTCCAAGGTAGACTGCAAGAATAACATACTCTGCACTCCAGTAACTAGAAAAGTCCGTAGATACTGACATTGAAGTATTCCCATTGTTTGAAAAGTTAATCATCTTCCCGTCTGTAAATTCTACATAGTATTTATTCGTTTTCTCAATCATTTAAAAACCTCAAGTGTTTTGTTTTTGTATAAATAAGCATAAACTATACAATACAGAGGTGAACTACGGAAGCCAATATTACGGAGATTAAATAATTTACCACTTATTTATGTACTGTAGCATCCCGTTAATAAGTCGTTGAGCAAAGTGTAACAACACGTTTATAACCGTCATTACTACTTCCAAGCATTGCATTAGTTAAAGTGTCTCAGATGTAAATACTAACTCGTGTTAATAATTATTGAAATCGATAAGAAGGCGGGTCTTAAAACTTTACTGCATAACGGTTAGATGGGAAATCCAATACAGTTCCTACATGACATGCTGTATTTGTGTGACACAAATATTTTATCTGAGGAAAAGAAATTGATTATGGAAAGAAAGGAGAGACGGAACTGTCTTAGACATTTGCATCTATTGTCTTATTAAAAGAGTTTAAGCTCATTAATGATCAAAATGAACACGTAAGAGAATCATATTTACCGTATGGTCACGTAAAAAATGACATACAAAATTTATCATCTTACTGAGACTACTATTTTACTATAGGAGTTACATTATTATCAAATCACTTGAGAAAGAAAAAGTTTTTTTTTCCATTTATAACTATTTCTGTGCTAATGAATCATTTAACAAAAGTATCCTTAACCTTACAATTTATTGTACACATTATTTATGCGTCTATCAACAACATACATAAAAGTTTCAGTTTGTGAAAACTTGACTGACAGTTTTATTATACATAATTGCCAGGGTAGTTTCATAAAGATTCCACTTTCTTTAAATACTCATAAACAAAATTGAAACACAATATTGCTTAAAAAATAAATTGTAATACAATGATAATGACACTTATGTACTTTGAGTTGCTAATTCTTGTTTTTGTTGTTGTTGTCACATTACAATGCACTTAGTAATATCATGACGTAGATATATTTCCTTTCGGACATTGTTCAACTGACTAAATTTGTTCACCTCAACTTGATGTTCTTGAAATATTGACGTGACCGGTAACCGTTGCCTTTTTCTAGACCTTGACATCGGCTGTATACGCCAATGAGCCTTGACATGAACTGTATACCCCAATAAGCATTGACATGGGATGTAAACGCCAATGAGCCTTGACATGATCTGTATTCGCCAATGAGCATCGACATAGGCTGTATTCGCCAATGAGACCTTGACATTGGTTGTATACGCCAATGAGCCTTGACATAGTCTGTATACGCCAATGAGACCTTGCCCTTAGCTGTATACGCCAATGAGCCTTGACATGGACGGTATACGCCAATGAGCCTTGACAGAGGCTGTATCCGCCAATGAGACCTTGACATGGGCTGTATACGCCAATGAGCCTTGACATGGGCTGTATACGCCAATGGGCCTTGACATGGGCTGTATACGCCAATGAGCCTTTACATGAGCTGTATACGTCAATGAGCCTCGACATGAGTTGTATACGCCAATGAGCCTTGACATGAGCTGTATACCCCAATGAGCCTTGACATGAGCTGTATACCCCTATTAGCCTTGATAGGCCAATAATCATAAACAATTCGAATACGATTATCGTACTCAGGCTCAGAATTCAACAACTGAAAATACTGGATTTTGTATTTCGAGCACACATTTTGTACTCCGAGTACTCAGTAAAATTTTATGACCGAAGGTCCAGCTATAAATCGCCTTGAGTTTAATTGTTTTCAATAGGTTTAACAGAGACTATCATCATGATCATAAATCGGCCAATAACAGCAAATTCATTTGATAACCCCAAAAAATGCATTTGGAAATGACATGCGCAAACTACTGAAGAATGAAATCAGTACTAGCACAGCATTTTACTCTATGATTACCAATGAAGAAAAACAGCACAACAGAAGCACAAACCAAAGGATGATATATATACACGGCATCTTTATCGTGGAGACAATATTTACCAAATTCTAAGTGTTTACAGAAAAGGATTTGCACATCTGCTATACATGTAAACATCTATTTGTTTACTGTATTCGGTTTATACCCACTATTGAAAGTATCTTTGAATGCCATTATGGTGATCATATTTAAAAACTAGATGCAAAACTGGAGATGTTAAAACAGTATAGGTAAAGGTAGAATGAACCTTTGGACTATATACTATAATTATAATTATTATCATTAAAGCAGCTTATGAAACTGGAATGATAATACATGTTATAAAAACAAAAATGCTAAAATGAATAAAACGCATATGTTTTAATTCTTATTCCATATAGCAAAGCAACAATCTTGTCCTGTCTCCTTGTTCCCAATTATTACTAATTGTATATATAAATTATACTTATTTACAGTGACACCGCGTGCTTTTCATTCCCGTTTTACTGCAGTCATGGTGATTTATATTTACCGAATCTGCCAACTGATTCTAAGAAATTATTGTGAACACTATATGACGAATTCCTTCTATTAAACAAAAATTTGTATAGTGTGTCGAACGTTATGAGAGAGTTCCTTTTTATCTGGGACACAGGTTTCGTTGGTGATCAGTACCATTATATCTACTCAGTAACAAGTCAGGTGCTGGATATTAAGTTATTCATTTAAAAAAGTTAGGAATATGATTGTTTCTCAATAACTGTTCTGATAGTGATCGGGTGTGGATATTCCCCCTTAAAGTACTTACTAGTAGTTCAAAGTGTTTGTAAGATAATTATTATATCTTGACATATATACATCTTACTTTAAAGTTTAGTACAATTTTATTCCAATTTGTTGTTTCAATCTATTCCTGCGACAGAAAGAGATAAAAGTTATTACCTCGTAATCTATTCCTGTGACAGAAAGAGATAGAAGTTATAACCTCGTAATCTATTCCTGTGACAGAAAGAGATAGAAGTTATTACCTCGTAATCTTACTTGATACAAAACAAAATGATGTTATTTATCAAACTTTTCTCATTTTTTTTTTATATCAATGACACATAGATTAAAGTATTAAGTTGTAAATTAATAACATCTCATTTTCTGTAGAAAATATGGTCCTGATCGGGTGTTTTTTCATTGAAACTGTAATTTACTATTCATATAGAAAGCACAGATAGCATACTAAGCTTTGCGATGTTATCATGTTCTGATTGGTTATCATTATATTTTTTAAAAAAAATAGCATACCCCTGCTGTTTTCTTTGACATCTCTTAACCATATTTGAAACTAGATATTGGTCTATACATGTGCCGTACTTTTTTGTCGTTTAAGATATATGACATATTTAACAACTTTCAAAAAATCATATGAACAATTTCACATGAACTATTCATTTAGAATATTATTATTTCAGAACGTGGTCGATCATACCAATATTCGATACATTTTATGAGGATAAGAACAACATTTATTCATATGACATAAGGACATCTCACATATAGACGAGATTGGTGGATATGTCGATTTTATAGCTATCAGTAAAATTGTTTCCCTGCATTCTGTTTTATATTTATTTATAATTAAGTTCTTAAAATGTCTTGGACTGCAATCATTGTATGCACTTGATATTGTGTCAAGGCATTTTCCTTTGTATAAAATCGTTTGTACTTTAAATGTAAAACAGTTACATAAAAGAAAGAAAGTAGATTAAAACATAATGTTAAATCCTTGTATCTCAATCAATTTCTTTTAAAACTTGAATATCAAAGTCAAACCGTTTATTGGAACTCAATACTTAAAACAACTTCCTGTTTTCATATATTACTTAACTAACTTCTTGACCTTCTCGTTTGATATGAAAAAAATTTATGTTACAGTGACTAATATCGTTCACAAATATTAATCAAAGAGATTTGTGGAAGTCACTGGAGTAGGTAAACAATGGTTGTCTGACTTTTTTCATACAAATTAAATTCTGCTAGGAATATTCTTTATCCATGATTTGCCTAATACTTTTTAAACGACCAAGCTTAATCGTGTGTACTTGTCCATTCTTACGTCTATTCCTGTCATTGTAGTTTGTCGGTATAAACTTTGGGAGGTTTGGCGAGTTTTCCATTTACCCGATTTGAACATCGATTGTTGTGAAAAATAAAACACATGTAAAAAGTAAAATAACCTAAAAAACGAACTCCAAGGAAAATTCAAAACGGAAAGTCCCTTGTCAAATGGATTAGCAAAATCAAAATCTCAAACACATCAAACGAATGAAAAACAACTTTCATATTCCTGACTTGGTATTTCCTTATGTAGAAAATGGTTGATTAAACCTGGTTTTATAGCTAGCTAAATCTCTCACTTGTATGACAGTCGCATATAATTCCATTATATTGACAACAATGTGTGAGCAAAACAAATAGACATCATAGGTAAAAATGTCAAAAATTGGGATACAGCAGTCAACATTGTGTTATAATCTTAATCACTATAAAAACAAACAACTATGTCAACAAAGAAAACATCAAAATGGCTTATAGACACTCTATAGACAAAGCACATAAGCAAAAATGAAAGATAAGATTACAAAAAATGATCATAGCACAATAACACAATGGCGGGATGTATAAATACCGAACCACGCCAAAAGGATATACTAAAAATGAACTAAACAGTAAAGGTTATATATAATTATATACAAAGATTGATTGATTGTTGGTTGCTTAACGTCCAATTTACAAATATTTCATGCATGTTCAGGACGAGAACAAGTTAACAATAAATACAATAGGTAGGTCCTGTAATAGAGGCCGTCCGGGATGAAGGTCGGGAAAATTTTGACTGCCACGGAAAAATGAGGGTATATTGGATAAGGACAGAAATTTAGCCTTACAACAGGCCACCTACGGACCCCTCAAAGAGTTGTTGCAAGGGTTCTTAACGTGCAAAGAACGTGGCACTCTCTCTACACGAGGCATCGGATTTAACGTCCCCATTCTGACTGGACTTGACTGCGAATTTGTACATCCCGCACAGCCAAACGGACGCCCCACTTTAGCGAGGGTTTTACCGCCGGTCGGAGGAAGACCAATGGTGACCATATTTCTATTCTCCAGTACAAAGACAAATAAAACGAACACTATAACACGTAACTAAGATGAAGAACAACGTCAGTACCTAGAATCTATACTTCAAGACCATCATGTATTATTTGTGAAGTTGATACGGAATATTTATCAACAAGGTCTTGGTATCTTCCAATGAACTTTTTCAGAAAAATCA